TGTGTGTGTGTGTGTGTGTGTGTGTGTGTGTGTGTGTATGTGTGTGTGTGTGTGTGTGTGTGTGTGTGGCTCCGATCCGCTCCGGTCGTTCAATCTTTGTTCACCGCAGCGAGAGAGCATCAGCGTCCGGTGTCACGAGGCGGAAAAAACCCCAATGTGACGTCAACCTGAGTGGACAGATGTGCAATGAGAGGAGATGCAGTAAATGATGGTTTCTTCTGTCCAAAACAAGTGTTAATCCAGAGTAACAGAGCTAAAGCTCATGTTCTACAACCTCCTCATGTACGTAATAAGCTCCTTGTTTTTAGCTGCTTCAAAAATCACAGTTTCTCTGGTGCTGACCGACATTATCTCTGCCTCATTAGAGTGACAGTGTGGGGGCAGGGCTAATTAGCATATTCAGATATTTCTAAATGCCTAACAAGACACAAGCTTCGTCATTTTCTCTTTTTTTTAGTCTGGTTAGTCTTCCTTTGACAGAACAGTTACAGAAAATGAAGCGGCTCGGTCGGCTGCTCTGCCCACAGTCACAAAGCAAATTAAAATCACAAACTAATAAAGTTCCTGAGTGCAGCGCTGGAACTTTGTTTTAGAAATAAAACTTGACTCCAGCCCGGAGCAGCTGCAGCGACAGACCTCTGAAACCTTTTATTTTGTGTTGAAAGCTGTAACGTTTAGAAATGACTGACAGACTAACATTTATATTTTATTACCTTCCAGTTTCTCCTCTTTCAGCTGGATTTTTATCTTCTGATGATTAAATCAACCTTAAATGTGTATTACATCATTCTTTTTGAGTTCCTTCAAATTCAGTTTGAAATATTTGAAGTCTTTTGACATTTTAAAGCCCTAATTTGAATTTGTCTGAGTTGAGACTGTGATAATTTAGTTTTTTTTTCAGCTACAGGTAACAGTTTTAATCCCCTTCCTTCCTGCAGATGTCAGCCGTTCAGTCAGGCGTGTTTTTGGTTTGATCGTCTGCACAGAAAACTACAAAACTTTGATAATTTTAAAGTATTTTGGTGCTCTGCGCCACAGCCGTGACTCTTCTGTGTGCCAGAAGAATGCAGGCGATGAGATCGCGGCTCTAATGAGGAGTGGGAGTCTGTCTGTGTCATCCGTGTCGAGCCTTTGTGTTACCGAGGCGAGAAGAGAAATTTCCATTTCTGTCACTTTCCTGCTCTTTGTCCCTGTCCGGTTATTTTCTCTCTGGCTTTGCTCTGCCTCTTAGCTTCTGCCCCGATTCTCTGCTTCTTCCTCTGCTCCTGAAACCTCTTCATCTTCTCAACATCACAACATCTGTCTGCTGCGATCACATGGATCCCTGCATTTCATCTGCATCCTCCTTTTTAACTGTTTTACTCTGTTTACTCTCTCTGTAAATATATATTTATATTTATATATAATATGTGAGGTTTTTATTATCTAACCATATATCTGATCGTAGGAAAAATCCTTCCATCTTGTTATTTTGTTGATAACTGTCAGTTACAACTTTATGGAGCTACATTGTAGCCATAGGGTTGATTTAAAACTTCATTTTTTTTAAACTGAAACTAAAATTTTTAAACTGAATAAAAAAGATTTTAGATAAAAACAGATTAAAATTTTTAAAAATCCACTTTAATCACATTAAAAATGTATGGCAGGCCCTAATATGATATAATAAAACAATATGGCTGCCTTTGTATCAATTAATTAATGCCGTATGGCCATTGTTTCATATAATTTAAATATAAGGCAAGTTGTATCATATAATTAATGATCATCAGCATGCCATTGTATCATATGATTAACAAGTATGGCAGGCCATTGTGTCATATAATTTCAATGTATGGCAAATTGAATATTATAATTAAGAATGTATGGCAAGCCGTTGTATCATAATTTACATACAAGGCAAGTTAGAACAGAATAGAATGGAATAGAAACAGCCTTTATTGTCCCACGCGGGGAAGTTCAGATGTAGCAGCAGCAGCAGATACACACATCAATACACAACTATGTGACAATATCAATTATAGCAAAACCAGAATAAGAATAATAATTACCGTACCAGACCATCAATGAGAAATTAGATAAAAATTGAAGCAGCTACTGTGCGGAAAGTTATACAGTTACAGGAAATTACAGTCATGACAGACTTGTGCGAAATGAGTTAAATTCAGTGTGTGCAAATTGAGTCGTTGCACATTGTTGTATATTATAATTAATATCATTAATATTAGTCGTTGTATATTGTTGTATATTATAATTAATGATGTATAGCAGGACGTTTTATCATATATTTAAATACAAGGTAAGTTGTTGTATATTATAATTAATGAGGTATGGCAGGCCATTGTATCATATGATTAACCTGTGTGGCAGGTCATTATGTCATATAGTTTAAAAATATGACAAGCCGTTGTATCAAATAAACAAAAAAATATTTTTAAAAATTCAGTTTCAAATCTTTTTTTTTCACTTTCAGTTTTTTGTAGTTCCAAAATTGCTTTCCTGTTTAATTTTATTTTTTTGTGAACAAACTTTATGGCTCCAATTTAGCTCCACATATTTAGTCACATGTTTTTAATTAGTAGTTTAGGTGAATGAATGACTTCTGATCCAAACCAAGTAGTTATGGTTGTTGTATAAACCTAACTAAGCAGTTTTAGTATCTGAACCTAACCACAGAGAGTTGTCTAGATGTAACCAAGTGGTTTCAGTGTTTAAACCTAACAGGTAAGTTGAAATGCAGTTCATTTTTACAGTGACGTCTTGTGTTTGAAGGCTTTTGCACAACAAATATGAGTTTATTTTTACCTTAAGTCTGACAGCAGCAGCAGCAGGAAGCAGAGTCTGAAGCTTTTTATCAATCTGTTGTCTGTGTTTGTGCTATGAGGGAAGGTGAAGCCAGCAAACACTCTGCTGTTTCCCAGGTTACAGCACCTTTTTCTACAGTAAAAACTGAGATTTTACCAAAAAGCTTTCCAGCTTTCCAGAACTAAATCACAACCTTATAAAGTTTCATATCACCTTCAGTTCAGCCTTTTCTTAAAAAACACATTTTTGTGATCTTTATGTTGTTTTGTCTGCCTGGAAGCAAAAGGTTTGTTTGTCTCCAGGTCGTTCATCTATTACCCACATCTGTCTTCACTCTGTGGCTTTCATGATGGGAGAATGAGCAGCCAAGTGCTATCAGAGCAGACCTTCAGAATGACTCATTTCTTCAGATCAAATCTTATCTTCTGCCTGAGCTGCACAGATTTGACGCTGCTGTACCTGTTGCACCTTTCCTTTAAATAGACGTGTTTCAGCGAGGTCTCGCTCTGAGCTGCAGCTGGAGCGGTGCCTCTCACTTGTAGGTGGTTTTAATAAAAACCTTTGCTAAATTGGTGGAAATGTACCTGCAGAGCTTCAGATGTGATTAAGTTGGAATCAAACCCTAAGAAAAGAGATTTGAAAAGCTTGAATGTCAGGCAGCTTTATGAGGTCGTCGTCTCGAGTGGTTTCCAGATTACAGGTGAATCTCTTCGTTTTATTAAACTTTCAGTTATCTCTGAACGTTATGAAGTAGTAGGTGGATTTTTCTGTCTTTTAATTTGGAATCAGAGGGAAGGACAATCAGCTAGAAAGTGCTCAGCATATGCAGAACTTCCTTCCAAACTGTTGGAGCTCGTCCACAAGACGCCCTCAGAAAGATGGGAGGAAAGGACTTCTGCAGTATATTTAAATATTTGCTTACTGCATGGATCTTAATGGGGTTGTTTTTCTATGTAAAATGAATGAATAAAACATGGATCCAGTCATTTACTTAATTTCCCCTCTTATTTTTCTGCTCCTGCAGTTCCGCCTGTGGCTCCTGGGCCTCGGCTTCAGCTTGGCTTACGGCAGCATGTTCACCAAGATCTGGTGGGTCCACACCCTCTTCACCAAGAAGGACGAGAAGAAGGAGAGGAAGAAGGTAGGAGAAACATGGAAAGCAGGGATTATTGAGCCAAAACAGAGATTAGATTAAGACTTTAGAGCCGTTACAAGTCATTTACTAACTTAAACCAGTGGTGACCAACAGATAAACAAACTAATCTTTTTATAAAACCATGAAGTTCTGAATGTTGAACCTGCTCTGTTTTGTGTAGAATGATTATTTTCTCTCTCTGCGATGTTAACGCTGTAACTTATTCACTTCATTTCCGGTCCGTGAACATAATCTAGGCTTAATGCTAATGACATCATCTGCTCACTTGGCTGGAAATTAGCACAGAGAAGCTAACAACTAGCATGTCTAGACTGATAAATGGCAGGGTAGAACACTTTTTTTTCTTCAGTTTCTGAACTAAAATATTTAAATAATTCGTAAATGCAAGAAACGTCTGTGTTTGGCAGAGAGTGAGCCCAGGCTGCAGGAGCTGCCAGGTCCAGAGTCAGTCATCAACAAATAATTGACTTTAGGAGTCAGACACATTCAAAATGTCTAAAGAGATGTCTAACCAATTCAATTTGACAAAAACCAAACTGTTTGGTTCATTAGTAGCTGAGCGTTATCCCTAACTTTTACACTGAGATCTAATAAGATCCATTTTTAAAACTTTGACAATAATTATTAGTTTTATTGAAACTGACAAGAATTTACTTTGTACATCTGCATCAAAAAAACAGAAAAAATCCCAATAACTCAGATAATTTGACACATTTGTGCTAACATTTGAATTGTATTGTCATGATTTATCTGTTAGCAAAATGTTTCATAAATCAGCATTTAGATGAGTCTCTAATAAAGTAATTATTAGATGTACCTGGACAGGTGGTTAACTTCTGAGGTCATCGTAAACATGCTAACTGTTAGCACTGTGATGCTAACATCCTGCTGATGACGTGTAATCCTGTTAGTCAAGGTGTACCAGTTGTTAGCTAACATTCAGCCGAGCAGGGACGGAGCAAGAGGCGTGGGTGTGGTGGCACCTGATTAGCCACCCCCAAAGAAGTGGGTGGGGATCTTGATGTATTTGTGTTTATATTTTGTTAAAGATTCTGATTCTACTGTACTATAGAAATGTTCAGCTGTGTATGTTGTTTAAATTATAGGTCTTTGTAAAGTTAGCATTAGCTTTAGTTGTTAGCTTAAATTGGGATTAGCATCGTGATCATTCTTTGCTACTCCACAACAAATTTCAGTGTCTTACAATAGCTGAATTATAGCCTTTTAAAGTTAGCTGTGGCGGCCATCTTGAATGTTTAATTAACATTTTGAATTTGGTGAAGATTGTTTTTGACAACTTCTACACTAATCTTTAGCTTTTTATGTGTAAAAATGGCTGAATAATAAGTTGTGATTAGCATTCATCGTGCCTTTTGGTTATTCTTAGCTCTGGCAGCCATCTTGAATTTTCAAATCCATAGTTTATTTGAATGTGCTCTGTGGCTGCCCGATCCGTACTGTCCAGGAAGCATTGTTTTTAGCATGTAGCATTTCGCTAAACTGATGACAGAATTCATTGGATTTCGGTCTTTCATCACCTGCAACGTTTCTTAGAAAAGGCAACATTTGCAACAACTGTTGATTTTTATTCCAGGAAAAAATAAATAAAATGAAGATAATATGAGTAATAACATGCCTGTCTCGAAAATAATTAGCAAGTTGTTATAAACAAATATGTACGCATTGTAAATCTATATTAATCAAAATGTATTCAATATTAAAACAGTTTTCAGAATATAATGTAACACACATTTATAAGTATAGAAATTAGGGCTGTCAAATGATTAATATTTTTAATCTGATTAATCCCAAAGTAGCTGTGAATTAATCATGATTAATCTTAAATTTAACATACATTTCTATTGCATATTGATAAAATAAATTACTTGAGTTATTAATTAGTTTTTAATGTTTTTATTTAGAAAACAAAATTGATGCTTAGACACGATTCTTTGAATATAAAACAGGACCTAAAAATACTCCAAACATCTTTGAGTCAGTTAAATTTTGTGCAGAATAATGAGATTAAATCAAGAATTCAAGGATTTTCATTCCAAATGAGTTCTACATGATGAATGAAAGATAGATACTGAGGTCACAGCTGTCAGCAAAACATAAATAAATAAAATAAAATAAGCCATAAAAAGACAAAAAGAAAAAAACTACATAATGTGTTACACATGGAGTTTTTTTAAATTTATTTTATTTATTTAACCTTTATTTATGCAGGTAAACTGTTTGAGAACCACTTCTCATTTACAAACATGACCTGGCATGATGCACTGAGTGCATTGTAATATACAAACCTACGTATTCAGCCGTAGTGAAGTGATTGTAAATTTTTAATCACGATTCAAAATTTTAATCTATGCTCATGCATCACTAAAATTAATCAGAGTTAACTCGATTCATTTCACAGCCCTAATAGAAATAAACATATTCAGTATTTTTTTTCCTAAATCCAGCACATTCTATAGGTCTATCATTTAGTGCAAATGAGCTGACAGTACAGATCATGCAGCCACATGATCCCCTCAAAAACACCATGGCCCCCTTGCAAGAAAGTCTAGCTCCGCCCCTGCAGCAGGACAGCAGCTGATCCCTTGTTGTGTTTGTCTCGTCACTGGTCACCACGGATCAGTCAGGAGTCGGGCTCTCTTCATTATTTAGCAGATGAGTCGCAGGTTCCTGCAGAAAAACAGCCTCCAGTTAGAAGAACGTAAATCCAACACTGTCTTAATGTTCCGTCCCATTTTCTGCACCACAGAGGGATCAGCCTCACAGCAGAAACCAAAGGCAGGAGGAGAGAGATTTCCCAGGCTGCGCAGCATGTGTGGCTTCAGCTGATAAAAGCTCTGCAGAAAAAATTAAACTTTCCCTGTTAGCCTGACCGTCCGGGCTCAGAGTGTCCGCCTGCAGCTGCACACATGCAGCACTCACACATGCAGCACTCACACATGCAGCTGCACACATGCAGCACTCACACATGCAGCTGCACACATGCAGCACTCACACATGCAGCACTCACACATGCAGCTGCACACATGCAGCACTCACACATGCAGCTGCACACATGCAGCACTCACAAATGCAGCTGCACACATGAAGCACTCACACATGCAGGACTCACACATGCAGCACTCACACATGCAGGACTCACACATGCAGCACTCACACATGCAGC